TGACTAGTTTCACTGACCTGATTTGGCGCAGTCCTTATGATCTCTGGGTGTCAGATCTGTGCACGACCCTGCAGATCCTAAACATGGCCTGCTCCCAATTGCCTTTCCTGGCAACACATATAAAGTCAACTGTTCCAATACATTGAACATGCTTACTTAAATAAGGAGACCAACACTGTACGCAGTATTCAGGGAGAGGTCTGATCAATGTCTTATGTGATTGAGGCATAACATCCTCATTTTTATATTCAATTACTCTCATTGTAAAGTGTGGTATGGTGTACCCTTAGCTCTTTTTATTAGGTGCTATATCTGCAACAAACCTATTTTAGAACAACTAAATCTCTCTGTTCCTCAGAAATCTGTACTTGTTCTCTGGTTAATAGTCTGCTTTTTATTCTTCTTGCCAAAGTGTACAATTCATATTTTCCCACATTAAATTTCATCTGCTAGATTACTGCCACTCACTGAATGTGTCTAGATCCAACGAGAACTTCCTGATGACTTCTTCACAGTGTACTTCCCCATCTATTTGATGTTCTCTATGAATTTAGCTAAAATGCCTTCTCCCCCTCACCAACATCATGTTATATATTGTAAAAGGCTGAGTCCCCAGCATAGACTCCAGGCAGAATTTTACTCATCCCTTGCTGCCAATCAGACCTGATTATACTAACTCTCTGGTTTCTGTTAGCCAGACAGTCTTCTATCCATGCAGATATATTATCTCCTACACTGTGAGCTTTCATATCCCACAGTTGCCTTTGATATGGCACATCCTGATTTTCTATTTCCAACCATCAATGTCTGATGTTTTTTGCTTCTGCATTTGAAACAGTGAAAGTGCTGCTACCTTGTGGAAGTGATTTCTCAGTGACTGGTATTCCCTCTCTATCTGTGTTTTACCCTCAGGAGTGTACTGACCCCTGCTGTGAGCCCTCGACGTGTAAACTCAAACCCAGGGCACAGTGCCCATCCACTGGTGCCTGTTGCAAAGACTGCCAAGTAAGATCTCACTGCACCATGGCCATTGGTTCTGCAAGAGGGGTCTGGGAGATGGGACATGGAGTTATAGTGGAAATGATCTTGTCAGGTTAATACAGTGGCAGGTAACCAATCAGAATTGTTATGACTGTCTTTGACATCAAGGCAGCATTCAACCAAGTATGACATGGAATCAGGGGGAAATCTTTCTGCTGTTTGGAGTCATACTTAACACAGTAAGATGGTTATGGTTGTTGGAAGTCAGTCATCTCTCGCCAGGACATCTCTGCAGGAGTTCCTTAGGGTACTGTCCTTGGCCCAACCATCTGCAGCTGCTTCAGCAATGACCTTCCCTCCATCATAAGGTCAGAAGTGGGGATGTTCGCTGAAGATTGTACAATGTTCAGCACTATTCGTTCCTCCTCAGTCACTGAAGCAGTCTGTGTTCAAATGCAACAAGATCTGGACAATATCCAGGCTTGGGCTGACAAGCGGCAAGTAACATTTGTGCCACATAAATGCCCAGGCTACGACCATCACCAATAAAAGACAATCTAGCTACCAACCCTTGACATTCAATGGTGTTACCATCACTGAATTCCCCACTGTCAACACCCCAGAAGTTATCATTGACCAGAAACTCAACTGGACTCACCACATAAACACAGTGGCTACAAGAGCAGATCAGAGGCTAGGAATACTGTGGTGAGTCACTCACCCCCTGATCCCCACAAGTACGCACAGTTAAAATGTCAGCACATTTCATTGCAGGCTTTGTTCTGTAGTTCCTTCCAGCAGGGACAATGTGCCGAGTGCCAATGGGAAAATGTGACCTGCCGGAGTTCTGTACAGGAAATTTCTCTGATTGCCCTGAAAATGTGTATCTGAAAGATGGGCACACGTGCAGCAATGGGACTCTATACTGCAGCAATGGTATCTGCCAGTCTGCGGATAAACAGTGCCAGGAGATCTGGGGTCCCGGTGAGTACACAGCACCAGAGCCTGCCTTATTCTTACAGCACCACTTGACAGCAAGCAGAGAGAGATAAACCACAGAACATAGAACATTACAGTGCAGTACAGGCCCTTCGGCCCTTGATGTTGCGCTGACCTGTGAAACCAATCTGAAGCCCATCTAACTACACTATTCCATTATCATCCATATGTTTATCCAATGACCATTTAAATACCCTTAAAGTTGGCGAGTCTATTACTGTTGCAGGCAGGGCATTCCACGCCCTTACTACTCTCTGAGTAAAGAACCTACCTCTGACATCTGTCCTGTATCTATCACCCCTCAATTTAAAGCTATGTCCCCTCGTGCTAGCCATCACCATCCGAGGAAAAAGGCTCTCACTGTCCACCCTATCTAATCCTCTGATCATCTTGTATGTTTCTATTAAGTCACCTCTTAGCCTTCTTCTCTCTAACGAAAACAGCCTCAAGTCCCTCAGCCTTTCCTCATAAGACCTTCCCTCCATACCAGGCAACATCCTGTTAAATCTCCTCTGCACCCTTTCCAATGCTTCCACATCCTTCCTATAATGCGGCGACCAGAACTGTACGCAATACTCCAAGTGCGGCTGCACCAGAGTTTTGTACAGCTGCAACATGACCTCATGGCTCCGAAACTCAATCCCTCTACCAATAAAACCTAACACACCATACGCCTTCTTAACAACCCTATCAACCTGGGTGGCAACTTTCAGTGATCTATGCACATGGACACTGAGCTCTCTCTGCTCATCCACACTACCAAGAATTTTATCATTAGCCCAGTACTCTGTATTCCTGTTACTCCTTCCAAAGTGAATCACCTCACACTTTTCCGCATTAAACTCCATTTGCCACCTCTCAGCCCAGCTCTGCAGCTTATCTATGTCCCTCTGTAACTTGCAACATCCTTCCGCACTATCCACAACTCCACCGACTTTAGTGTCATCCGCAAAAATACTAACCCATCCTTCTACGCCCTCATCCAGGTCATTTATAAAAATGACAAACAGCAGTGGCCCCAAAACAGATCCTTGAGGTACACCACTAGTAACTGAACTCCAGGATGAACATTTCCCATCAACCACCACCTTCTGTCTTCTTACAGTGGATTGTTAAAGTGTTAATTTACAGCGTGTAAATTTGATGCAAGTGAAAAGTGGGTCCTGAGGGGGAAGGAAATGTTTGTGTTCACTCCTCATCAGACGGAGCAGAATCTGGAGAGAGAAAGAAAATAGGACCATGAAAGATGACAACCTGAAATGTTAACTCGGCTCCTCGCTGCGCACTGACATTGCCAGACCTGCTGAGTTTCCCCAGCTTTCTCTGTATTTGTTTCAGATTGCCAGCATCCACAGTAATTTTTGTGGGCTTACTGCAGTTTATATTTGTAACTTCCAGCAGCTGGTGAGTATTTATTTGAAGTTGTTATTTAACATTGTCAAGAGTATAGTAGTAAGAGCAGGAGGGGTAGTGGTGTATTCGAAATGTCACTGGGCGAGGAACGGGTGAGATGATGGGTGCAGTTCCAGCAACACTCAAGAAGCTTGACTCAAAGCAGCTGCTTGATTGGCACTACATCCACAAGCATCCACTCCCTCTACCACCGACACACAGTAGCAGCTGTGTGTTGTATCTTGGGATAGTTTGTCCTTATTTGTCTGATGTCAATCAGCAACTGGAGGAGAATCGTAGGAGGAAAAAGAACAGGAGAGAAAGAGAAAGATGACACTGTGTGGAGCCGGAGGATTACAGGAGGCCAGGCAGCATCAGAGGAGCAGGAAAGCTGACGTTTCGGGTCGGGACCCTTCTTCAGAAATGCGGGAGGGGGAAGGGAGCTCTGAAATAAACAGAGAGGAGGGGTGGGGCTGGGGAAGATAGGTGGGATGGTGATAGGTGAGTGCAGGTAGGCAGTGGTGGGGATTGGTCAGTGAGGTAGGAGGAGCGGATAGGTGGGAGAGAAGATGGACAGGTTGTGTCAGGTCAAGGAGGAGGGGATGAGAGGGAGGTTTGGTCATGGGATGAGGCTGGGGGTGGGGACGTTTTGAAACCGGTAAAATCCACATTTAGGCCATTGGGCTGTAGGCTCCCAAGGCGGAATATGAGGTGCTGCTCCTCCAGTTTCCAGGTGGCGTCATTGTGACAGTAGAGTAGGCCCAGGATGGACATGCCGTCCAGGGAGTGGGAGGGGGAGTTGAAGTGGTTCGTGACTGGAACGTGTTGACATTTGTCACGAACAGAGCGCGGGTGCTCTACAAAGCGGTCTCCGAGCCTCCGCTAGGTCTCACCGATGTAGAGGAGGCCATATCGGGAGCAGGGATGCAGTAAACCACATTAGCGGATGTGCAGGTGAACATCTGTCTGATGTGGTTTAATAATTATCAATTATCTATTGTCATTCTAATCCAGTCCTGTCAGTGTCCTGCCTTTTCCCCATATGCCTGCACACATTATTATCCGAAAAACTGTCCAGTGCCCCTTTGAATGCCATTCAAGTCTTTTATGAACTTTTTTCTTCCTTGTGTCACCTTTTGCTTTCTTTGCAGATCACTTTAAATCTATGTACTCTCATTCTTGTTTCTCTTACAAGCAGAATCAGCTTTGCCCTCCCGACAGTGTCCAGCTTGCACATGGTTTTGAAAGCCTCAATCAGATATCCTATCTGTCTTCTCTCCTGGGAGAACACACCCAACATCTTCAATCTATTCTGACATTCTTAGGGAATTACCCTGACAAATGAACCAGTGAATGATTGTCACTTATTTTGTGAATTGAAACAGGTATTCTTTCTGTTTGCAAAGCACAAGGCCCAGTATTAATTTACATAGCTTCTAGTACTTACATGTGTGCTACACTTTGAACCAAACTAGCATTCCTAAATTTGTTCTCAGTGTAATTTATTGCATGTTCTGGATTAGCCAGCAACTATATTCCAATTTCAGATTCACATCTGATGTTGGACATTGTGTTGCAAGTTTTACAAGTGTGGGTTGGTTGAGTATGGTAGGTACTTTCCTTGCTGTGAACTGCCAAAGGAAGTTTTTATTTTGTATGATTTGTCCAGGACTGGTTCTCTTGACCCAGCATGGCAGTCTTCTTCGGCTGAGGCTTCTAGCCCAGTATTCTAGTGGCTCGGCATTGCGGTCTCATCCTGGAATGGCAGTCTCATCCTGGCTGCGTCTTCCACGTATTCCATTGCCCTTTAATTGGCATTTCCTGAACCCAGGAGCCATTAACTAACTGTGATAAATGTTGTCTTAATTTTACTTTTTTTATTACTATGTATGACTTCTGTCATTAGTATAGGTGTGTGGTGAGGCAAGTTATAAAACTTTTCTCTATATTTTTCATGTAAAAGTACATGACAATGAATTTCTATTCTATTCTTTCTAAAAGATGCACTGCAGAAATTCACCAAAGATCTTTAGACAGCACCTTCCAAACCCATGACCGCTTCCATCTAGAAGGACAAGGGCAGCAGGTGCATGGGAATACCACCACATTCAAGTTCCCCTCCAAGTGACTCACCGTCCTGATTTGGAAATATGTCGCCGTTCTTCACTGTTGCTGGGTCAAAGTCCTGGAATTCCCTCCCTAAGGGCATTGTGGGTCAACCCACAGCAGGTGGACTGCAGCAGTTCAAGAAGGCAGCTCACCACCACCTTCTCAAGTGGCAACTAGGGATGGACTGTAAATGAAGATTCAGTAGTTAGGGGATCAGGCAGACATTTGTAAGGTTGCAGATATGATTCTAGGATGGTGTGTTGTCTCCTTGGTGCTAGCTTCCAGGATGTCACAGAGTGGCTTCTGTGCAGGGCCACACTAGTGCTCTGACTGGAGGATGGAGTTAAACTTCAAAAGGACATGCTGATGGAACAAGAAAACATGTTTAAGACAGAAAGACAAAATACCCTTCCTGGATCATCTTGTTTGTGTTTCTGTGTGTGTGTGAGAGAGAGAGGTAGATAGATTCTGATTAATAAGGGGATCAAGGGTTACAGGAAGAAAACAGGAGAATGGGCTTGAGAAACATATCAGCCATGATCAAATGACAGGGCAGACTTGATGGGCTGTATGGCCTAATTTTGCTCCTGTCTCTTACTATCCCATGGTTATTTGCATCTGATTAAGTTAGCATTCACTTTAAAATTCTCATTTTATTTCATATCTGCCCAAAATCTCTCAACTTTCCTCTCTCTGTAATCTCCTCCACACACATTCGTCTGAAATTTTTTCTTTGCTTTCTTTATTCATTAATGGGATGAGCGTGTTGTTGGCTAGGCAGCATTTATTTCCCATCCCTAATTGCCCAGAGGGCAGTTCAGAGTCAACCACATTGCTGTGGGTCTGGAGTCACATGTAGGCCAGACCAGGTAAGGATGGCAGTTTCCTTCCCTAAAGGACATTAAGCAGATGGGTTTTTCCAACATTCGACAATGGATTCATGTTCATCATTAGATTCTTAATTCCAGATATTTTATTGAATTCAAATTCTGGCATCTGCTGTGGCAGGATTCAAACCTGAGCCTCAGGTCTCTGGATTAACAGTCCAGTGATAATACGACTAGGCTATTGCCTCCCCAGCATCAGGCATGAAAACAGAAGTTGCTGGAAAAGCTCAGCAGGTCTGGTAGCCCTGTGAAGAAAAATCAGAGTTAACGCTTCGGGTCCAGTGACCCTTCCTCAGAACTGGGTTCCCCAATATCCTTGTTTGTTTAAATCTTGGGCATCCGGTTTAAATTGCATCAGCAACACCTTGGCTAATTGTCAAACTTATGCAAAGTGAATAAATCACAGATTGAGATCTGATTCCAGAGTTATTCTGCACACAAGCTGCTCTGGTACCTCCAGGTGTTTTTCTGGAGAAGTTGTGGCTAGCTAAATTCCCTTTACTGGAGACACTGGGCTGGATTTTAGTAAATCCTCTGTAGGATCTCTCCATGAGTGGTAAAGTGGATGTGTTTTCAGTGCATATATTGCTGAGAGAAATTGTAAGGAAAGACAGAGGGAATAATGGGCTCTTGCTTCACATCAGGTCAAATATTCTCTCTCACTCTCGCTGTCTCGCTCTCTCTCCCTCCCTGAGTGCAGAATTGCAATCATCTTATTCAACACAGACACTTGGTCATGTGTGTGTTCTCTGTCTCATGAGCTCTCCAGTCTGTGTGACTCCATCCAAACTCCCTGCTTCTTGCTGTTGCACCCAGTGGCTTTTCCTAAGCAAAGTGTCTCATTTAAAAAGTTTTCCTCAGCAAAGTGTCTCATTTAAAAAGTTCAAGCTCGACTTGTATGGGTCCACATTATCTTTTTTGGAAGTCACTTTTGTATCAGAAACTATTCTCTCTCCATCTCTAACTCTGAGTCTCTGTAACTCCTCTTCTCCCAGATTCCACTCCCTGCTCACTGAGGTTGGGCTGGGGAGATGACTTTGTGACAGGGAACAGTTTAGAGCAGTTTCTGGTTTATGGAATCTCTGTAATTCTCTCCTTTCTCTCTGATAGGTGCAAGATCTGCTGAAGATGCATGTTACTCATTTACAAATAAAGCAGGAAGCCCCTTTGGAAACTGTGGCAAGAATGAGAATAATGATTACATCAAGTGTCAAAACAAGTATGTTTGGCTGAAAAATTTGGCTTTTTTAGAATTGCTGGGAATTTTATATCAAACATAATGTTGACAATATATATGTTTCATATTGTTTCAAAATTCTAATTTAAGCAATCATGCAACTGGTGAGACCAGAATCAGGACATTGTGTGCAGTTCTGGTCACTATGTTACAGGAAGGACGTAATTGCTCTGGGGAAACTGCAGAGAAGTTTTGATGAATGAATTAATACTTTATTTATTGTCACACATATCTTGAAGATACAGAGAAAAATGTCTTGTTGCCACAATCCGGTGCCATTTACTACACTGTTTCCAGGGCTGGAGAATTGTAGCTGTTTGGAGAGATTAGAGAGGTTGGTGTTGTATTCCTTGGAGCAGAGAAGGCTAACGGGTGATAAGATTGAGGTATACAAAAATTGTGAGGGGCAGAGATAGAGTAGACAGGAAGAACTTGTATCCCTTGGCAGAGAGTTCAAAATCTAAGAGTGACAGGAAAAAAGACCCTGAACTACCTGTTGCCTACCACTTTAACGCACCATCCTGTTCCCTGGCCAACATCTTTGTCTCTGGTTTGCTGCAGTGTTCTAGCAAAGCTCAACGCAAGCTGAAAGAACCTCATTTTCCACTTGGGGACCCTGCAGCCCTCTGGACCCAATATTGAGTTCAATAATTTTAGAGCCTAAACTCTCCCATGTCCCAGCCCCCTAACCCACACAGCAGGCCTTGTTATCACATAGCCTGCCATTACACACCACCTATTATTAGTTACGAATAGTCCCCTTTAGCGACTATTCACCCTTCCAGCCTGATCGTTATCAACTCTTTGTCTGTCCAACTGCTCTTCTCTCTCTTGAGGCTCTATCCTATGGTTTACTCCCTACCCCATCCCCCTTCCATTTTTTTCTGCATTTAACTGATGTTTTCCCAGCCACCATCAGTTCTGAGGAAGGGTCACCGGACCCGAAATGTTAACTGTGATATTTTCTTCACAGATGCTGCCAGACCTGCTGAGCTTTTCCAGCAACTTAGTTTTTGAACAAAAACTAGGGGTCATAGATTCCAGTGAAGTGCCAGAAAGATTAGTGGGGATGTGAGGAAAAACTCGTTAATGCAGAGGATGCTCATACAGCCATACAGCACGGAAATAGGCCCTTTCGTCCAACCAGCCCATGCCAACTGTGTTCTCAAACTAGACTAGTCCCACCTGCCTGAGTTTGGCCTGTAGGTGTCTGGAATTTGCTGCCTGAGTTGGTGGTGTAGGCAGAGATCCTAAACGCTTTATAGATGTACCTGGATATGCACATTAGGTCTCTAAGGTTCTTGGGATCCAGAGTTTAAATACCAGGTGGAAAAACACAACAGCACTTCATTGGAGGCTGCATTGATGATGTTACCCACCAGGGTAATGAAACGTCTACGAACTAATGAACCAGCTTGGCGAGCGAACCAACCACTGCATGCACATCAGGTACTGTAAGCTGCAGGGCCATATGCAGAAAGATGGGATTAGAAAGGGCATCTGGGTGTCTTTGGGTCGGCATGGACAAGATGAGTCAAATGGCCCCTTCAGTGCTGTATCACATCTACAGTTCTATGGTTTTGAACAGGTTCTCCAATGCATGTCTGAGAAATCTGATCACCTATCCCAGAACCGGAAGCAACATGTTCTTCCCAAATTCACATTGATAATAACCTGGACAGTGATTGTCCACCTGCAGTTTACAGATATCACATTGGTATGGGAGTGAGAGAGAATGTGCCAGTGTCATACAGCATGGAAACAGGCCCTTCAGCCCAACTCATCCATGCCGACCAGGTTTCCTAAGTTGAACTAGGTCCCATTTTGCCAGCATTTGGCACATATCCTTCTAAACCCATCCTATTCATGTTCTTGTCCAAATATCTTTTAAATGTCATAATTGTATCCTCCACCACTTCCTAGGCACGCCATTCCATACGCGCACCACGCTCTGAATGAAAAAGTTGCCCTTTAGGTCCCTTCTAAATCTTTCCCCTCTCTCCTTAAACCTTTGCCATCTAGTTTTGGACTCCCCTAGCCTGGGGAAAAGACCTTGGCTATACACCCTATCCATGCCCATCATGATTTAATAAACCTCTATAAGGTCACCCATCAGCCTCCAACGCTCCAGGGGGAAAAAGCCCCAGTCTATCCAGCCTCTCCTTATAACACAAACCCTCCAACATCCTTCGAAATCTTTTCTGAGCCTTTTCAAGTTTCACAACATCCTTCCTACAGCAGGGAGAACAGCCAATTGCACATAGTATTCCAATAATAGCCTAACTGATGTCCTCTACAGCTGCAACGTGACCTCCCAACACCTATTTCAGTTGCTGGAAAAGCTCAGCAGCATCTGTGAAGGAGAAAACAGAGTTAACATTTCGGGTCCAGTGACCCTTCCTCAGAACTGATGGTGGTTGGGAAAACGTCAGTTTATAAGCAGAAAATAGGGAGGTGGGTAGGGTAGGGAGTAAACAATAGGATATAGCCCAAAGAGAGAGAAAGACAGTTGGACAGATAAAGGAGTTGCTAACGATCAGGTTGGGAGGGTGAATAGTTGTTAATGGGGACTGTTAGTGACTAACAACAGGGATGTGTAATGGCAGGCTATGTGGTAACAAGGCCTGGTGTATGGGGTGGGGGGGCTGGGACATGGGAGAGTTTAGGCCCTAAAATTATTGAACTCAATATTGAGTCCGGAGGGCTGTAGAGTCCCGAAGTGGCAAATGAGGTGTTGTTCCTCCAGCTTGTGTTGGCCTTCACTGGAACACTGCAGCAAGCCAGAGACAGAGATGTTGGCCAGGGAGCAGGGTGGTGCGTTGAAGTGGCAGGCAACAGGTAGGTCAGGGTCTTTTTTGCAAGCAGAACGTAGATGTTCTGCGAAGCGGTCGCCAAGTCTACGCTTTGTTTCCCCAATGTAGAGGAGACCGCATTGTGAGCAGCGAATGCAGTAGACTAGATTCTGGGAAGTGCAGAGGAAGTGTTGCTTCACCTGGAAGGTATGTTTGATCATCAGATGCCATTTCCGCCACCTCGAGCAAGATGCCACCACCAGGTACATATTCCTCTCCCCTGCCTTGTCCGCCTTCCGCAGGGACCGTTCCCTCTGGGACACCCTGGTCCACACTTCCTTCACCCCCAACACCTCCCCACAGCCCTACGGCACCTTCCCCTGTAACCGGTGAAGGTGCAACACCTCCTCCCTCCCCAGTATCCAAGGGCTCAAGCATACCTTCCAGGTGAAGCAACATTTCACCTGCACTTCCCAGAATCTAGTCTACTGCATTTGCTGCTCACAACGTGGTCTCCTCTACATTGGGGAAACGATCCTACTCCCTCCCCTACCTTACTAGTTTAGGTCTTCCCGGGTAGCTCTAGCAAATCTCCCTGCCCATTCAGGCATAACCTGTGCTTCTTATACAGGTCACTTCTGCTCCAGAAGAGATTCCAATGATCCAAAAATGTGTATCCTGCACCAGCTCCTCAGCCATGCATTCATCTGTTCTATCCTCCTATTCCTACCCTCCCTAGCACGTGGCACTGAGAGTACCTCAGAGTACAAAGGGAGCTTGATCAGATGGGCCAATGAACCAAGGAATGGCAGATAGAGCTTAGTCTAGATAAATGTGAGGTGCTGCGTTTTGGAAAAGCAAATCAGGCAGGACTTATGCACTCAATGGTAAGAGGGCGGGAATGGGATACTGAGATTGCATGATCAGCTATGATTGTATTGAATAGTGGTGCAGGCTTGAAGGGCCAAATGGCCTATTCCTGCACCTATTTTCTATGTTTCTATGTCTTGGGGAGTGTTGGTGAACAAAGAGACCTCAGAGTGCAGTCGCAGGTAGACAGCATAGTGAAGAAGGCGTTTGGCGTTCTTGCCTTTATTGATCAGTGCATTGAGTATAGGAGTTGGGAGGTCATTTTACAGCTGTACAAGACATTGGTTCAGCCACTTTTGAAATACCACATCCATTTCTATTTTCCCTGGAGTGTTAGATGTTGTGAAACTTGAAACAATTTGTGGAGTCATAGAGATACACAGTACAGAAACAGATCCTTCGGTCCAACTCGTCCATGCCAAGCAGATATCCTAAATAAATCTAGCCCAATTTGCCAGCATTTGGCCCATATCCCTGTAATCCCTTCCTGTTCATACACCCATCCAGATGATTCTGGCAGGGCATTCCATACATGCACCACCCTCTGTTGAATAAAGGTTGCTCCTTAGGCCCCTTTTAAATCTTTTTACCTCTTACCTTGAACCTATGTCCTCTAGCTTTGGACTCCCCCACCCCAGGGAAAAGAGCTTGTCTATTTATCCGATCCATGCCCCTCATGATTTTATAAACTTCTATAAGGTCACCCCTCAGCCTCCAACACTCCAGGGGAAATAGTCCCAGCCTGTTCAGCCTCTCCCTGTAGCTCAAACCCTCCAACCCTGGCGACATCCTTGTAAATCTTTTCTGAACCCTTTCAAGTTTCACAACATCCTTGCTATAGCAGGGAGACCAGAATTTAATGCAGTATTCCAAAAATAGCCTAATCAATGTCCTGTACAGGCACAACATGACCTCCCAATTCCTATACTCAGTGCAAGGACCAATAAAGGCAAGCATACCATCCTGTCTACCTGCGACTCCACTTTCAAGGAACAGTGAACCTGCACTCCAAGGCCTCTTTATTTAGCTGCACTCCCCAGGACCTTACCATTAGTGTGTAAGTCCTGCCCTGATTTGCCATTCCAAATGAAGCACCTCACATTTATCGAAATTAAACTCCATCTACAACTCCTCGGCCCATTGGCCCATCTGATCAAGATCCCATTGTACTCTCAGGTAATCTTCTTCACTGTCCACTACACCTCCAATTTTCTGAAAAGATTTGCAAGATAATCCAGATATTTATACCCTCGAGGACCTACTTTTTAAATTCCTTCCTAATTTCCTGTATTCTCTACTCAGAACCGCATCCTTTTCTCTTCCTATGTTATTGGTTCCAATGTGTAAAACGATCTCCTGTTGGTCCTTCTCCCCTTTGAGAATATTCTGCACCCTCTCCAAGATATCCTTGACCCTGGCAATAGGAAGACAACGCAACATTCTGATACCTCATTGCTGGCCAAAGAAACATCTGTCTGTGCCTCTGCCTAGAGAGTCCCTTGTCACAATCGATCACTTGGAACCTGGCATATCCCTTGTTACAATCAAGCCAGTCTCAGTACCAGAAACTTGACTGCCAGTGCTACATTCCCCTGAGAGGCCTTCACTCCCTACATTTTCCAAAACAGCATACTTGTTTGAGATGGGGGTAGCCACAGAAAACTCCTGCACTCCCTGCCTACCCCTCCTGTCTTTCCTAGAGGTAACCCATTCAGCTGACTGTATCTGCGGTTTTTCTACCTTCCTGAAACTGCCATCCATCAAGATAGTACTCCTGCAAGATGGCAGCAGAGTTGGACGCTTCTGTAAGAACTCCTGTGCTCGCCTGTTCTTTTTCCTTCTTTTTCCTTTTTTCCCTGTTTTTTTCCTTCTTCTCTCCCCTCAGCACCGGAGCCAGCAGCAAGTCCAGAGCAGTGAGCCCTCGTGCCTTGGAACGCCATGAGCAGCGAGTCCTGCAGCAGCCTGTGGGCTGCAAGCCCCAGAGCAGCGCAGGGAAGTGCCCCGCAGCAAGACGTGGGGAAGCAGTCACGGATCATTGCGCAGGTAGCGAGTATGAACATGCAGCCCGAGACGGCGACGGAGGGGCCGAGATACGAATCCCGGTACAACGTGACTTACCTGGTTGCTGCTGAGTGCCGGTGAGGAGCGGACTGGAGGCTGGAGCGATACGGGACAATTGCTGGACTTGGGCCTGGCGCCACATGCTGAGCTGCTGTTATTGGACTGTAATTTAAATCCTTTTCACTATGTTGCAACTACCTCTATAAGTAATACTTATGCTTTCCTTTAATCCTCTTTGTGTAAGACCACTTTAATCTGTAAGATTTGTGCCTAGGTACTTATACCTAAGATGGCGCCATTAAAAGGCAGCCATTGTAAAAACTTTTCACTGCACTTCTGTACTTCTGTATTGCAGTACAAGTGACATTAAAGGATATTTTATCCATCGCAGCCCCTGACTCCTGTAAATTCCTCATTGTCACTAACTACCACTCCAACCTATTCATGCAATCCGGTAGGATTCGTAACCAGATTTGTGTTTAGATGAGCACAGCCTCATTGTGTCAATTGCTCAGCCTCAAAGCTCTGATTTACTGTGTTGTCTGAGAAAGCCTGAGATTGCTCACATTGTAAGCTGATGTCACAAGATGGTTCAAGCCTCAGCCGTTCCGTGTCGATTAGACGCAGGGCTGTGCGTGGAACAGGAGCTGTTTCCAGCTGGTACCACTGCTGCTGTTGTTTCACTGTCATCCTTTGGGAAACGTAGAATCGCTGATTGACCTCAATTTAACAGCCAGAAGAAGGGGGACAGTTACAGATACAAAGTGAATTCACAGATATTCAGACTGGCCAAGCTGGTCATAATACTGACTACGTCAACTAGTGTGTATGAAGCTGAAAGTTGTTTATCTCTCTCCTACAGAGATGTAAAGTGTGGGAAGATTCAGTGTAAGGGTGGAAATTCCTCTCCAGTCCGTGGAGGGAATGTACACTATTCCACCACCGAATTTGTGATTAACGGTGTGCAAATGAAATGCAGGGGGACATTTTCGAATTTACCTGATTCCATTTCTCCAGACCTCATTCGACAAGGCACAAAGTGTGGAGACAAGAAGGTGAGTCATTCATAGTCTCTAGAAAGTAATACTAAATAAAAATTTGAGGCAGAGGCATGTCAAAAGTTAGCTTTGTTTCTCTCTCCACAGATGTTGCCAGACCTGCTGGGTTTCTCCAGCATACTCTGTGTTTGCTTTGAAGTTGTGTTAACTTCCTCTCCTTCACATTACTCCCAAATTCCCTTTATATTCTCCCTATCTTTGCCGTTTCTCATTTCCTGAAGCCCACACAGATAACATTAACTGCATGGCCCTCATCTATCATCACCACTACCTTCATTCAACAATTTCAACATCTTCATCAAACTGCTGCACCAACTAATAAACAAGGAACATGTACTGATAGCATTTCAGGTGAAAATACAGCTGAGATTTGGATGCAGATTAAGAAAGGAAAGACTAGAGGAACTGATGTGTAACCAGATCAGGGAAAGATGTAAAAACAACAGGATTCTGGGGCATAGATAACACAGTGTGGAGCTGGAGGAGCACAGCGGGCCAGTTAGCATCAGAGGAACAGGAAAGTTGACGTTTCGGGTCGGGACCCTTCTTCAGAAATGACGGATGGGGAAGGGAGATCTAAAATACCAAAGGGTTGCAGTGGGAGAGAGATCCACTTAGGTCTTTCTACAGGGTAACTTCGTTAAGGTGGTCATCCCTAGAAGAGGCTTTGCAGTGGGGTTATAACTTAGTCAGAGATAGTAAGAACTGTTTGGGTCATTTTAACTTTCCCAATATTGACTGGGACTCCCTTTGTGCCAGGGGCTTAGAAGGGGCAGAATTTATTAAGTTTGTCCAGGAGGGTTTAGAATATAGAACAAAGAACAGTAAAGCACATGAATGAGTCTATGTGCCCACGATGTTGTGCCGAACATGACGCCAAATTAAACTAATCCCTTCTGCCTGCCCTTGGTCCATATCCTTCCATTCCTTGCATATTCATGTGCTTATCTAAAAATCCCTTAAATGCCCCAATTGTATCTGCCACCACCACCACCCCTGGCAGAGTGTCCCAGACTCCTGCCACACTCCATGCAAAAACCTTGCCCCTCATGTCTCCATTAAACTTCCCCCCTCCAACCTTAAATACATGTCCCCTGGTATTAGACACTTCAACTCTGGGAAAAAGATTCTGGCCATCAACCCTATCTATGCATCTCATAATTTTATAGACTTCTATCAAGTCTCCCCTCAGCCTGCGCATTTTTTTTTCTATTCATTTTGTGGGATGTGGGCATCGCTGGCTGGCCAGCATTTCTTGCCTAGCCCTAGTTGCACTTGAGAAGGCGGTGGTGAGCTGCCTTCTTGAACCATTGCATTCCTGCTGCTGTGGGTTGACCTGTGGGTTGATGCTATTAGGGAGGGAATTCCATGATATTTACCCAGCGACAGTGAAGGATATATTTATAAGTCAGGATGGTGAGTGGCTTAGAGGGGAACTTGGAGGTGGTGGTGTTCCCAAATATCTGCTTCCCTTGTCCTTCTAGATGGAAGTGGTCGTGGGTTTGGAAGGTGCTGTCTGAGGATCTTTGGTGAATTCCTGCAGTGCATCTTGTAGATAGTACACACTGCTGCTACTGAACGTCGGTGGCAGAGGGAGTGAATGCTTGTGGATGCAGTGCCAATCAAATGGGCTGCTTTGTCCTGGATGGTGTCGAGCTTCTTGAGTGTTGTTGGGGCTGCACTCATCCAGGCAAGTGGCGTGTATTCCATCACACTCCTGACTTGTGCCTTGTAGTTGGTGGACAGGCTTTGAGGAGCCAGGAGATGAGTTACTTGCCGCAGTATTCCCAGCTTCTGGCATGCTCTTGTAGCCACTGTGTTAATGCACTGAGTCCAGTTGAGTTTCTGGTCAATGGTAACCCCCAGGATGTTGATAGCGGGGTATTCAGTGATGGCAACACCATTGAATGTCAATGGGCAATGGTTAGATTGTCTCTTATTAGTGATGGTCATAGCCTGGCATTTGTGTGGCATGAATGTAACTTGCCACTTCTTAGCCCAATCCTGGATATTGTCCAGATCTTGTTGCATGTGAACATGGACTGCTTCAGTGTCTGAGGAGTCACGAATGGTGCTAAACATTGTGCAATCATTGGCGAACATCCCCACCTCTGATCTTATGATGGAGGGAAGGTCATTGATGAAGCAGCTGAAGATGGTTGGGCCTAGGACGCTACCTTTAGGAACTCCTGAAGAGATATCCTGGAGCTGAGATGATTGACCTCCCACAACCACGACCATCTTCCTACGTGTCAGGTATGACTCCAACCACCAGAGATTTTTCCCCCTTTGATACCCATTGATTCCAGTTTTGCCAGGGCTCCTTGATGCCACATTCAGTCGAATGCAGCTTTGATATCAAGGCCTGTCACTCTCACTCACCTCTGGAATTCAGCTCTTTTGTCCATGTTTAAACCAAGGCTGTAATGAGATCAGGAGCTGAGTGGCCCTGGCGTAACCCAAACTGGGCGTCACTGAGCAGGTTATTTCTGATCAGGTGCTGCTTGATAGCACTGTTGATGACATCTTCCATCACTTTACTGATGATTGAGAGGAGACTGATGGGGCGGGAATTGGTCAGGTTGGATTTGTCCTGCTTTTTGTGTACAGGACATACTCTGGTAATTTTCCACATTGTCGGGTTGATACCAGTGTTGTAGCTGTACTGGAACAGCTTGGCTAGGGGAGCATCACGTTCCGGAGCACAAGTCTTCAGTACTATTGGCGGAATGTTGTCAGGGCCCACAGCCTTTGCAGTATCCAGTGTCTCCAACCGTTTCTGGATATCACGTGGAGTGAATCGAATTGGCTGAAGACTGGTATCTGTAATGCTGGGGACCACTGGAGGAGGCCGAGATGGATCATCCACTCGGCACTTCTGGCTGAAGATTGCTGTGAATGCTTCAGTCTTATCTTTTGCACTGATATGCTGGGCTCTTCCATCATTGAGGATGTGGATATTTGTGGGGCCTCCTCCTCCAGTGAATTGTCCACCACCATTCACGACTGGATGTGGCAGGACTGCAGAGTTTAGATCTGATCCGTTAGCTGTGGGATCACTTAGCTCTGTCTATCACTTGCTGCTTTCACTGTTTGGCATGCAACCAATTCTGTTTGGTGGCTTCACCAGGTTGATACCTCATCTTCAGGTATGCCTGGTTCAGCTCCAGGCATACCCTTCTGCACTCTTCATTGAACCGGGGTTGATCGCCTGGCTTGATGGTAATGGTTGAGTGGGGGATATGCCGGGCCATGAGGTTACAGATTGTGTTAGAGTACAATTCTGTTGCTGGTGATGGCCCACAGCATCTCATGGATACCCAGTCTTGAGTTGCTGGATCTGTGGGAAGTCTGTCCCATTTAGCACAGTGATAGTGCTACACAACATGATGGAAGTTGTTCTCAATGTGAAGGCGGGACTTCATCTCCACAAGGACTGTGCAATGGTCACTCTTTCTGATACTGTCATGGACAAATGCAACTGCAGCTGGCAGATTAGTGAGGATGAGGTCAAGTATATTTTTCCCTCTTGGTGGTTCCCTCACCACCTGCCGCAGACCCAGTCTAGCAGCTATGTCGTTTAGGACCCAACCAGCTCGATCAGTAATACTGCTGCCGAGCCACTCTTGGTGATGGACATAGAAATCCCCCACCCAGAGTACACTTTGTGCCCTCGCCATCCTCAGTGTTTCCTCTAGGTGTTGTTCAACGTTGAGGAATACTGATTCATCAACTGAGTGAGGACGGTATGTGGTAATCTGCAGGAGGTTTCCTTGCCTATGTTTAACCTGAAGTGGGGCCTGGAGTCAATGTTGAGGACTCCCAGAGCAACACCCTCCCAACTATATCCCACTGTGCCGCCCCCTCTGCTGGGTCTGTCCTCCCGGTGAGACAGGACATATCTAGGGATGGTGATGGCAGTGTCTGGGACATTGTCTGTAAGGTATGATTCTGTGAGTATGACTATGTTAGGCTGTTGCTTGACTAGTCTGTGAGACAACTCTCCCAATTTTGGCACTAATCCCCAGATGTTAGTGAGGAGGATTTTGCAGGGTCGACAGGGCTGTTTCTGCCGTTGTCTTTTCCGGTGCCTAGGTCGATGCCAGGTGATCCGTCTGGTTTAATTTCTTTGAGTCTTTGTAGCAATTGGTACAACTGAATGGCTTGGTAGACCACTTCAGAGGGCAACTGAGAGTCAATCAGATTGTTGTGAGTCTGGAGTCACATGTAGGCCAGACCAGGTAAGGGTGGCAGATTTCCTCTCCTGAAGGACATTAGTGAACCAGATGGGTTTTTCCGACAATCGGCAATGATTTCATGGTGATCAGTAGATTGTTAATTCCAGACTCTTTTTTTGAATTCCAATTCCACCATCTGCCATAGTGGGATTCGAACCCAGGTCCCCAGAACATCAGAGACAACAAGGTGCAGGGCTGGATGAACACAGCAGGCCAAGCAGCATCATAGGAGCAGAGAGGCTGACGTTTCGGGCCTAGACCCTTCATCAGAAAAGGTTTTCTGATGAAGGGTCTAGGCCCGAAACGTCAGCCT